GGATAAATTTGGCCTGCTGTTCAGGAGTCCTGAGAACAACCCAATGCATAGTTTGTGAGAGACTAGTTCCATCCACATTGACCCAAGGGTTGATGGCCCATGCATATCTTAGGCACGTGGATTTCAAAGGTATATGTCAATGACCCACAGAAAATACAGAGACTTACAGACAGAAAAGGGTTCTTAAAATGATTTGAACTTCTTCTTTCAGTAAATTATTGTTTTACATGTGGAAACCTTCACATGGTTAACCACAAATAAGAGAAAAATCTCAAACTGAAAATATAACTACTCATGCAAACTCTTAACGAACAACCACAAGACGTTAGCATGCCATTTGAATGGTTTCAGGGTTTAGATTTATTGAGGAATACCGTTTGGGAAAGTGATAGAGGGACATAAAAAGATACAACGTAGAAAATAGTTGGGTTCAAATTTAAGCAGGGAGAATATTTTGGATACTATTATCACAAAGGTTTTTCTCCCTGGGCTGACACCTGATCTAGGTGGAGTGGTTAAAGTGTCCCAATGATCCTAGGAGCTATGTTGTCCAGAGCTTTGAGCCTGTGGTAGGGTCTGCAGTGCATTTTCCGGGTCCCCCCACACCAACCTACCCAGTGGTTTGTAAATAGGAAACACGTGCTATGTTGCAGAAATTCTCATCTGTGTCATATTTTACTCCTGTAACATGTAAGGGTGCTGCTTTCTATTTAAAGGTAATTGATAAAATGCTTTTGGCCGAAGCACGAGTTTAGAGGAAGAAGCAAGTAGCTGTAACTGTTGGTATTCCAATGGTAAATCATTTGCAACTGAACCATTTCTTGCAACCAAATCTAAATGAAAGCATGGTAGACATTGCTAGCTGTGGGTCTTCCTAATTCAATAGTTGCACAATGAAATGTTATGAAAGGGTTCATGGCCAATCGAGGGACGTCCAGGTCATCACAAGGAGCCATTCACACATATGGGCACACACATACAGACGACCGAGCTTGGAAAGAAGAGTTAACCACAAAGACATTTATGGGTAGCTGCCATTATGCACATAGGACCGCTGCCACATAACTGCAGGACCAGAGAAACCCTCCATGTTTTGTCTCCACAGATTAGTGATTTAACACAACCACACAAAGACTGCCTTTCACTCAGATGCACTAAGGAAACTTGCAGAGGAGCAATCACAGAGCGGTGACATAATCTATTTTCTTGTACATTCGCAGGTATGTTTCTTTAGTTTTAGCTTATTTTCTCAGGATTTTTAATAGGTATAAATCAGCACTGACTGAACTCCAGTCATCTGCGTTCATATGAATGACATACTGTACACTTCTCAATAACAAGTTGTAGTATCGGAATAATTTTTCTGCATAACACATTCAATATAGGGAAAAACTATTTACTTCAGTGGAGAGCCCCATCACTTGGGAGGTGACCTGGTCTTGGCCTCTAGCCCAGGACCACCACTCAGGTCTGATAACAGTTAAAGCAAGCACGTCACGAGATACGATTTTGTCACTTGCAGTCAACTTGGCAATCGTCTTTGTTTCTTTTATCGGAGACAGATACTTAGCTTTCTTCATATGGCAATGGAAGTGGTTCATTGTTTTTTTTCTTTAATTTTTTGTGACTTTCCTCATAGAAGTTTGTTTAACAAATTCAATCGTGGCTGTTTGAATCTGCGGTTGCGAAACTGTGACAGTTACACTACAGTCCGCTGGTTGTTCAGGCTGTTATCTTTTTTCTTGCTTTGTATTCTTTTCATAAATGATGTAAACAGAAGTTGGTGGTCGGATCAAGCAGACCAAGTCAAAATCTGGTACAGGAACTCAGCTATTTGGTTGGTAGTGTAAAAACAGACTTCTTTTTATATTCTTATCATATAATACTTTCAAAAGAAATGGGTGATACATTTAATTTTTACCAGTGATTGACTTTCATGCTCTTCCTCCCAGTGTCTAATCATTTAGCGTCAGGATTCAATACATGACATCACTGTTTGACTGGTATGACATTTAGGGCTCAGGATGCCAGATGAAAAATGATCTGATTGAGTGCGTAATCCAAGTTCCCCAGGAGGGAATTTGTTTCATATTAGTAAACTGAATTATCTATTGAAGGCCCAGACCACCAACGGAACATGGTGGCTGGAGGATACAGTAACTCAATCAGTCCACTTAAAATGACCGGTCAGCAATTTGCCTGCTGAAGACTTGAAAGATGATTGTAATTGTATTTGACACTCCGAAGATTATTCATGTTTAAAGCTTCCTCTTTCCATATTTTTTCACCAGTAAGTCAAAAAAACTGTCAAGAGTGACAGATGACTCATGTCATGATGATCTTAAGCGCTCCATAAAAAAACGAAAATTTGTTCTGCTTGTTGGTTTTGTTGATCAGCCTTTTACTTCAGTAGAGAGAAGAAAAACAAAAATCGAAAAATACTTGATCAATAACCCCAGTGATGCTGATTACTTAGGATAAGACAGTTATGACGCCACACCACTGAAAACTGTACAGGCACTCCGTGACTATGCAGCTCAGGATCAAATCGGTCCTGGAATTATATGTAAGCTCAATGAGTCGCAAATGGGCCTAGCTGTTCTGTACATGGTGCAATGTTCCATTATCGTGCATCTTTGTGTAGAGTAAACTCCAGAGTAAACTAAAATAGCAAACTTGCTATTTCTCCATCCATTTCTGGGCTTCCAGGTATATGACCATCATTAATGTCAGTGTAGAGTTCAGGTTTTGTCAACCTTTAGAGACGTTGTGTACCTCTCTATTTTGTCACTAATTTGAAAGCATCAAGGATAGTTAAGTAATGGAAATAGCCATTAAGGGACATTCAGTTGATAGAAATAAACTTTTTTTTCAGTTTATCTGGGTGTCTGAAGCTACACCATCAGCTGTGATACAAACACAGATCTGACTCAAGAAGGATAAAGAAACAGGACCATAAAGGAATGGCTCTCCATGTCAACTGAATGCTAATAAAACACCTTCAGTTTAGTGTTTTGCTGCACTTACTTTGCTCCGACACTGAGAAATACTTGAACATTTGTTGGAAATGCACAAGTAGATGCAAACAAGCTGCGATACTGAGAGACCATTCAGTAATTCAGGAGCACGGTCTGTAACCAAAACAGTACATCATCTCCATAACAGTGAGGAGTGTGGAGTGTCATGCTGGACATGATTTGACATCTGCTCCCCCTTACTGTTGATATGTGCTCTGCCCTAGAGCTATGTCAGCAGCTGTGTGTTTCTGGTATATGAATGTGAGATGTTCAGCTTCTGAGCTTGTTTTCACGCAAGTGCACAAGTAGCCATGCTGGTGCTTGACTGTGAGCCTGATATATGGGGATGTTATACCATTGTTCACAACCTCAGCATGCTAATAACAACCACAGACTTGCAACAAACAATTCTGCGCATATTTTTATGTAAGTGTGTATGTTCTTGCAGAGGTGGAAGGGAAGCCGTTAAATAAGATGGACACCCCTACCCCTCCTCTCACTGACTGGCTGACCAGACCTCGGGCCCTCACCCTCTTGAGCTGGACAGATTTAAAAAGCATGGAATTTCCAGTGAATAATTGTGCAAAGCTTGAACTGCTCACTGATTCAGAAATTTCAAAGGATGTTAATGCAGAAGTTTAATTTTGATGGATTGTGGTGTAACCATTAATTTGCCCGTAGAGCAGTATACATTTCAAAATCAACGTTTGATGCTTTAGAAATTGAAAATGAAAGCCTTTTGAAACTGAAATAAAGGTGATTGCTCAGGCTGATATTTACATTACTGAGTGGCATATATGCGCTTTCTCGGCTCTGGTCTGCATTCCATTCAGACTCACACAGCTGGGATGGTGTTTTGCAGGTCGCCTCGGAGACAGCAGGAATGAGAGCGGGATGGCAGAGCGAAACCGAGAGGGAGCGCGAGCATTGCTTTCATCAGGTCACATACTGACATCCATTCAACACATCCGTTTTGTAAATTCCCTGACATGGCTTGAGATGTGAAAGTCCTGATCCTCTCAGCTTTCGACTGTCATGCAGTCTTCCTGTCACATCATCTGACAGCCTATCTACAGCCTCTTTCTTGCTTCTGCTAGAAAATATATGGTTAAAGAGTCATATCTCAGTACTGCATTATGATCGATTCATATAAAGAATCTCATATTTCACATTTATCTGTTGGCTTAGTGGCCTTTTCTACCAGTCTCACATAATCATTATGTATCCGGGCCAGATCCGGGTCTAAACCTGGTCAGAACCGGGTCTGAACCTGGTCAGATCCGGGGCAGATCCAGGTCAGATCCAGATCCCTTCACACTGCAGCTGTATTCAGGTTAAAAAAAACTTCTTCTGATATATAATTTTTGTTACATTATAATCCATTGCAATTGACTAAATCAAAAATAAACTCATGGAATTAGAATCTATTGATTCATTGTGTGAAATGAGATAGCCTGGAGCTTTCTGTTGCTCATTCCAGCTCAGGGTCGCCATCTGTTGTGCATTTGGGGGCAAAGCAATATTTTGTAACTTTTAAATCCACAAGGTAGTTTTTTGTGTTTGCAGTTTATGGGTTAGGGTTACCCCGAACCCCAGTCATGAGAAACAAAGCACCACAGTAACCCAGATGTGGCTGTAAAGGTGGCCTTGCACCTATATTTAATTTACTCTACTGTAGAGATGTTCATACTACATTAGGGAGCAAAATGAAGACAAAATTCAAAATCAACAAAAACAAAATTTTCAGTCCAATTTCTTTCCTTTAAAAAGGATCTCCGCATACATTAAATGAGACCCTATTTTAACTGCTAAGCAAACTTGATCACAATTTAATTTATCCCAGCATAGGCTTCCTGGTGTGCTTCAAACATGGACGTTGCATTTTCTACGCAAGTTTATTGAGTATACTGTATATACATATTACGATAATTATTATTGTTATTAGGTACATTTTACGTTCCTTTACTGCACATGCGCATACAGACGCTTGCCCGGTAGTGACGCAAAAATGGCGTGCTCCGTTACCCGGCTCAGTACACGCTGGTTAGCGACATCAGTTTCTTATGGACAATTCAGCGCCCGTTTTCTTGTTGTTCCTACCAGACATGGGGGAGTGTGTCAGGCAACAGCCTGGCAGGCACACCGGGGAGGGCTAGCGGTCAGCCTGAGCTCCTGGGCTCGCGTACATCTGGTGACATTGAGAGGACTGTCAGGTGAGAAAAGTTAGCTAACTGCTAGCATAACAATTTTTTGAAGTTTCTTACATCATCGCATCTTCTTATGTGCACAGCTCATGCAGTCTGTTAATGACCGGTTGTTTAGGCTTTAGAGTGTGTAAATAGAGAATAACTGATGTTGTCAACTTGCTAACATAGTTGTCCGCGGTAGCTTAACCTTGGTTTAAGAATGATGTAACCACTTAGTTTGCGTTTTGGAGTGTTTTTAAATGATGAGCAGCCTGCCCCCTCATTGACCTTTTTAACAACCAACCTGCTTCGTGGTCATTGCCTCCCAGTCATGTTGAAAAGGCTCTGGTTGACTTGATAACTGGAGGTCTCAAAATTGTTTCATGCATAAAGTTGTCTCTGTGGCTGCTGTGCAGTGCAGCTTTTAGACAAAATTACCAAGTTATTCACTCATTGACTGAATGGTAAGGAAGAGCGCCAAGAAAAATGCAACTTATACTACTATTATTAACTTTTTAAAGTAATGTTCAAGAGTGACATTTGTGCCATGTCATATAAATTTCATTACATTCAGATGTATGCAAGTTCAGAATTCAGAGATATGCAGTTTTGCGTCATATATGACAAAGAAAAGCAGCTGCTTTTCACGTCTGAAAAGCTGTCACTAAAGTAATTTTTATAAAAGCACACAGTTATTGTACTGCTTGTGGTATTACATATCGAATTTGTTATAATTTTCTGATGCTCAAATGATTATTGTATTAAAACGTATTGGCATGCCGTAGTACTGACCGTCTTTGATATTTATTGTTTCTCTCTTCTACAGGGGTGAGATTCCCCCTTGGAAATGGCCGTCGTGCTTTTCACTCCAGCTGCAGGCTGGGAAACAAACAGGACTTCTATGAAGTCCTTGGTGTCTCCCGCACTGCTACGCAGAAGGACATCAAAAAGGCTTACTATCAGGTCCTCTGCACACTTTGCTTCGTCAACCCGCATTCAAAAATACTTTTAGGAAACTTTTGATGTTATATTTCAAAATGTATGCATTTTCTTTTCTTTCCTCACGTTTTTCCTGTCTCCAGTTGGCTAAGAAGTACCACCCTGACACCAACCCGGATGACCCTGAGGCCAAAGAGAAGTTTGCCAAGCTGGCCGAAGCCTATGAGGTACAAACCACCAAACGGTTCTTCTTCCAGTTACACTGATATTGTTTTATTCCAACCTGATGTCAATATTTTTTGTATGCGTGTACGTCTTTAGGTTTTAAGTGACGAGGTGAAGAGGAAGCAGTATGACACGTACGGAACCGCTGGCTTTGACCCGAACCGGGCTGGGGCTGGCCAACAGCAGTACTACAGAGCAGGTGGAACAAGTATAGATCCAGAAGAGCTCTTCCGGAAGATCTTCGGAGAGTTCACAGGAGGCATGGGCTTCGGAAACATCAACAACATGTTTGACCAAAGGCCTGAGGTAAGAAAGTCACAGAGAGCACTGCGGCTGTCGAGCTGTGAAAGCCAAAACATCAGCAGGTCTTAACACATAACCTTAAACCATCATTTTACAGATAGCTGTCTGTACCTACTCAAAGTTTTTCTTTTTTTTTTAAAGGAATAATGAATGCCAGACTTCTCATTTGTTAACTTATTTCATGTTTTCCTACAGTTTGTGATGGAGCTCACGTTTTCTGAAGCAGCAAAGGGTGTAAATAAGGAGCTGACTGTGAACCTTGACGACAACTGCCCAAGATGTTATGGAAAGGGTAACGAGCCTGGCACCAGGGTGTCTCAGTGTTCCTACTGCAACGGCACGGGCATGGTGAGTTTCACGCTGCTACTCGATGGCAGCGTGATAAGGGTCATTTAACTTGGGGAACAGACTTCTTCCCCCGATGGGAAGCACCTGCTCGTCCACTCTGCTGCTGGTTATCAGAATATTTCTGTCCGCTTTGCGTCCCGCAGGAGACCATGAACACGGGTCCTTTCATGATGCGCACTACATGCCGGCGGTGTGGCGGAAAGGGGTCCATCATTAACACGCCCTGCGCGCTGTGCCGAGGATCTGGTCAGACCAAGAACAGACAGACGGTCAGCGTACCGGTACCTGCAGGCGAGTCTTCATTTGGGACACTCACAAATACACAGAAAAAGTTTCACATGTCGGCTGTGCTCATTGGTTCATTCTAACAACTGCTGCTGAAGTGAATGATCTTGGGGGATTTTCAGAATGTTTCATGTCTGCTAATTGAAGGTGTTAAATACATCTGTTTTGTGATGTTTTCTTACAGGCGTGGATAACGGTCAGACAGTGCGCATGTCAGTTGGGACAAAAGAAATTCTCATCACGTTCAGGGTGTGAACATGAGGATGACCCCCTGTGTCTTGATATGGCCGGCTTCTATCTTTTACTTTCTTATGACAAATAGTTTATCATTTTTATGTATATTCAGACATGAGTTAGCATATTAGCCATTTGGCGTTGCCTTTATCCACGGACTCTTCAACATTTGTAAGATCTTAGGTCAAACCACTCATCTTTTAAATGAAAAACAAACGGTAGACATCCTTAATCATGGCTGCTTTTGTGTTGTATCTATAAACCATCAGATGAATCCAGGTAGTGCATAAGAGACACATTTGTAGTTAAAAGTGTAGCTTTGTAGTTAAATGTGTAGCTTTCCAGTCTGGAAAGTGAGGAGAAAACCCTGAAAATTCAATTTGAGGATGTAAAGCAAACTTGTATTTTCACCAGTGTTTGTTACAGTATAGAGTTGTAGCTCGGTGTTGAAGCAGTGCTTTTATGTGTTTTGTGTGTGGTGTTTTGAAATATGCAGGTTCAGAAGAGCCCCGTGTTTAGAAGAAATGGAGTTGACATCCACTCTGATGCATTCATCTCCATCGCCCAGGCCATCCTGGGAGGCACCGCTACAGCACAGGGTCTCTATGACACCATCAGTATGGCAGTAAGTATGCGGCAAGGTCGGCTTTATAGTCATTATAAATTACAGTCACTTGAAGAAATTATCCCAAAGGTTCTGCTTTTAATGTTTAAAAAAAATTACATTGAATACTTTACACATTCTCTTCCCTTTTGCTGCACGGTCACAGTCCCTTTGCTCCATATTTACAAAAGGAAAAAGAATGACATAAGTCTCAGTGCACAAAATTAAAAAGCCCTATCCTACAGTTGAAACAGTAAAGAATAAAATTATAAGATCATTTCATCGTGGTAAAAAGATCAGATGTGTCAGTCAGAGTTTTTTTTTGTTTTTTTTTAACCTTGCGTTAAAACAAAAGGCTTTATGGTCTGACTACAGTTTCAAAATGTGCTTTCAGATTCCGTCTGGTTGCCAGGCAGATCAGGTCATCCGGCTGCAGGGGAAAGGCATTCGGAGGATGAACAGCTACAGTTACGGAGACCATTATGTTCACATCAAGATCAGAGTGCCAAAGTAAGATACTGATAGTTTCCGGCATTTGCAAAGTCGTGGTTCTCTATCAAGACTTTTATCCTTTTTGCTGGGATGTAATCAGTGACTCAGCAGGTTAAGATTTTTCTTTACTGTTACTATTCTGTATCATCACTCAGAGTGATTTAGAATCATTGAAATGAACTTCAAAGCACACCTTTAAAAGCTCTTGTGCATAGAGTGATCAGTGCTTCCCTTTTTGTTTGTTACATTTTACAGCATTATGTTGCGAACTGGTAACTGTTCTCTAATAATTTTACATACCACTAATTGTAATCTCTATTTCTTGCAGGAAGTTAACTCGAAGGCAGCGCTCTTTGTTGTTGAGTTACGCAGAGGAAGAGACAGATGTTCAGGGCTCTGTCAACGGTGTGAGTCCCTCAGCAGGTCAGGCCTAGAGCTCAGCCTCAACCCTCTCAAGATAACCAAAGAGCAGTGCTCCTCTCAGGGAAGCCTCTCACATGGTCACGTCTTTTTAGCTGACCAATAGGCTTGTTGTGGCTTGAAAATGACAAACATAGGTGAAAACAGTAAACCACAGGATTACAGAATCTAATATTTTTCTCAAGTTCATATATTTTTTTAAGGGGGAAAAAGTTTGCATTCCCTTCTGGTGAATCATGAATTCTAGTTTTATTCTTAATAAAGAAGGTGTTTCCAACTAATGACCTAATAATGCCATTTCCCGCTAAAAGGAGCCTCTAGGTCAATAAATGTTTACCACATGGCACATTTTTGGTTTTGATCCATGTTGCATCAAGTCACATCAGTTCAGTCCATCATCACTCAGCTGGTAAAATGCCTATATGTTTGTCCAGGAGGGGGCAGCAGCACCTCAGGTTCACAGCCCCCGCCAACAGAGGAGAAGAGTCAGGACCAGAAGAAGGAGGAAGAGGGAGGCTTCTTTTCCAAGCTAAAGAAAATGTTTAGCTAACACTCAGTTGCAGGTCAGACTCTTCAACAAGACTCCTGACGGAAATATACTCTCGGTTTAGTTTCATTCGAGGCACTAAACAGTTCACTGAGTCCTTATCCACATGTCGGCTCTGACTTCTCCTCACATTTGTTCTACATCTGCAGATGAAACCACAAAAATCCTCTGACCGGGCCGCCGCGCTTCCTGCTTGGGAAATTGAGCGAAGAAAGGAAGAAGGAGGGCGAGTAGTGTTTGTGTAGACACGGGGAAACGTCGTTGAGGCTGGTGCTGGCAGAAAGGCCATGTAGGTGCCAGGCTCATCCACACACCCACTGACCATACACCGCAGGCTGGCTGAAGGACTCCAGAGACGCTTACAAAAACATTCTGGGAGGGAGCGCTGCACCAAAAGTAACTCTTTTAAAACCATGTTAAATCAACCCTTTCAAACGAGAGACACAAATCTATGAGACTGAAAAGATTAAAGCAGACTCTCTAAAGTGATTGAAGTTGGATTCGAATAAGCTATTAGAATGGAAGTAAATTATAGCTCTACTTTTTCCATTGATATTCCCACATGTGTTTTGGAGTGTTATTATAAGGCCTTTAAAACTGTATAACTTAATCATAATTATGCTTGGAAAGCAGTTTTACTGGTAATGCATTCAGTTGTCTGAGAGTTGAATCAACCCAGTGATTACATCGCTCTGTTTTATTCAGCTTTAACACCAAGGAAGAAAAACTAAATCACCAGCAGGTTCAGAAAAGTGTTGGAGCACTTTATAGCGTCCGGGTGAGGGAAGTTACCCTTCGTCCTTAAAAGGATGTTGGTAGACATGTAATAGATAACTGTTTCTGTTGTTTTCTGCTTTTTTAAACGTTTGTCCTGACGCACTGATGCTTCACAGTGTTCCCACAGAGTGCACGCCTCTCAGATCTGAACTCATTTCAACAGGTTACTGTTAGTGGAGTTTTACTGGGGTCACATCTGGCTGTTTGAATATGGGGGTGTGTCCCGTAAACCCACACACTTTATATCTTAACATCACCTCTGAACACACACACACAAGGTACTGCTTACAATTTGAGACACACTTGCACAGCTGTGTTACGATTACTTGAAAAGACACTGACTCTTGGACTGTTGGCGTGGCCCTTACCAACAACTATTTCTGAATCCATAAATACTCATTGCTGATGTGTCATTAGTTTCCAGAGCTTGAGAAGCAGACTTCATCCACACACTGATTCAACTTGACACCAACAGAAATGATTAGTCTATTTTGCGTTTACTGGGACTTTAAGAGATCTTAAGAGGGTTTTTTTTCTGTTGGTATTTGTAAAACAATTTGTCATGTTTATATTTGTTTCAAATTACATTTATATTACAAGTATAATTTTACAAGGTGAATGGACTTGATTCTCTTCTCACTGAGCTTTTTGTCTGAATTCCCAGAACTCTGCCGAATGGCAGAAAGGAAGGCTGATTGTCCTCATGAAATCTTTCTTCTCCTCTGTTTGGTTGTCATATAAAAAGTTTTCTGTGTAGATTTCTGTCGTACTGACCCTTATTGGCACTTTCTCCTTCCAGGGTGGTGGGATCACCAAGAGATTGTTGGGTTTTTGTTTTCGTGCCATCAGCCTTCGAGACATTTGGTGGTTATATAACTAGTTAAAAAGGTTTGACAGTGAATTTTGAACTAATGACATTTGGGAATCGGCTAATATTCTACACACTTTGAAAAATAAACTCCATTTGGATTAAACATATGTGTGCCACTGGTAACGGCTTGTTTTCAGCCCACATCTTTCATGCCACAGAGACTTGTATCACCATCATATCTCAAATTTGCTGTCGGTATTTCGAACACAGCACCTGACATGAGCTGCATTTGAAAGTGACTGTGGATCAGTGGTACATCAAAATGTAAGTTGTTGGGAAAGACGATTCCCAACATCATCAGTCTGGGGTTTTTTGGACGGACCTGGGGCCTCTTATTCCTGCTGGGCTGCAGTCTTTGCCTGTGCCCTGTGTGTCATGGTTGTGAGGAAACGGAAGCTGAAGTGGAACTGCAGCACGTCGCACACTTTGGACCAGAAGTGTCCGGTGAGTCGCTGGAAAAGCCAGAACCGGGCGAGCCAGTGGTCCAGCAGCTTCAGCGCCACGAAGCCCGCGCACGACAGCACGGCCAGCAGGAGGTGCCTCCGCGTGCGGCCGTCGCCGTGCGTCAGCTGCACGCGCACTCCCTTGTACACGGCCAAAGCCACGTGCAGAGCCAGCGCCAGCTCGAAGCCTCGCTCGTGCGCCAGCGCGAGGCCGTAGCTGAGGACGGAGCACAGCTCGAGCGCCGCCGCGTGCGACCCGCGCCACTTCGCCGGCAGACGCTCTATGAAGTCTATCCACGCGGGAACCCACGCGAAGATAGGCAGGGTGAACCACTGGTCCAGCACGGCGGGGGGGCGCCGCAGGGTCGCCAGACGAGTCCACTGGACAGGGGCGTAAAAGAGAGCCATGAGGGCGAACACCTCTCTCATGTAGCGACTCTCGTCGGTTTCCCCGACACGGCTCTTCCGCCGCAGCCAGAACAGCCCGAGAAACACGTAGCCCAAGTTTACCACGGAGTTAAAGGGCATTGCCACGAAAGCAGGCAAGGAATCCACTATCTTCTCGGCGTAATGGTCGTAGTCCAGGTCCACCTCGACATGGCTGAACAGGTTCGTGTTGGCCAAAGCAACGCAGATCAGGAATGGTAACGACACGTGAAGCAGAGCTGACTTCATTACGTAAATGCTTTTTTATATATATATATATATATATATAAACTCAACGAAACCCAAATGCGTTTGGCCCAAAAACGAAAACTGGAACGTTTAGTCACAATGATCTTCCACTAGGATCAAAGTCAGAGCTGAGTTTTGTTTTTCCGGGTTTAGAAATCACATGGGTTTTGAGTCGAGTGTTTCGGTTGGCTGCCTTGGCACACGTGACATTTGTTGTGTCTTGCGTGATTACAGGAAATCTTTCATGCGAATTCCCTTTAAATCTGTTATCATTGTTAAAGTGGACGACAGAGAATTCTAAGGAGGCTCTCCATGCCAGCAAACCCCTATCAATGCCACAAAAGAACTTCACTTCACTGAAAATATCTTGTAATTAGAAAAGCTTTAAACAATAAAATGAGTTTGTATCATGCTAAATGTCCACTTACAGCTAAAAGGAGGGAAAGAATAGGTAAGACCCCTATCTAATGGGAGCTGGGATTTGAGCTGGGATTTTGTTTAAGCAGAGGGAAATTATTTAAATCATTTAACTATTTTAAAAGATCTTATTGTCTACTGTAAAGAGCTAATGAAAAGTTTATTGTATACGTTTCAATGTGAAGCCAGTACGATAAGGTTTAATGATGAAGATATTTATACAAACACAACAATAGATGGCGACATTGAGTCAATAATGTGATCATATGCCAAACGCAAAACAACTCAAGCAACAAGAGGCTTCTTTCGACAAGAAGCTCACCAGGAACTTTGGCCTCTGATTGGGTTTTTCCAGACACACTTGTGACCAAAGTGGGTCAGTACCCAGGACTTGTGACATCCCAGGGTAAATTTATTACATAATTTCAAGTCCTGGATACAAAATTGGCTTATGGCACTGTCTTACTTGCATTACCATAATACCAATCATTTCTTTTCTTGTGTGTCTAGCTTAGATGGACACACCTAGTGGAATTGTCAATTCGTCATTGCTGTTTGCATCCAAATGAACCAAATGACCTATAACGTATAATATTGCATATTCATTTTACTCTAAATAATTAGATTAATTTCTGATCATGCTGTTTGAGTTTTCTCTCAATTAAAATCTATTTTTCATAGCACAGATAGTGAGCAAGCAGATCTCTAGCCACTGCACTCTGCTTAAAAAAACAAAGCGATGTTTGTTTTGTTTTAGTCTCAGCTAAAGTGAGCAGTTTGATCCATGCGATTATTTTGTACATTCGTGTAAAACTTCAGTGAGAGTACAATCAGAGACAGTGATTGCAGTCCTGATTCCCCATCAAAGTTTAAACTTTATCAGATTGTACATTATCTAAAAATCTTGCAATTGTTATGTTTATAAAGACAAATGATAATTTGAATTAAATCAACCTCTTGATTCTTGAAATCAAGTTAAAGTCCCCTCAACTTAAACACATCAACATCTGACATCAGGTTGTGGCCATCATGTCAAAAGCTTAAGAACTTTCTACAGCGACAACTATGGCAAGGGAAATCCAATAGGGAGTTGCTCCCAAAGATTTAGAGGAGATTAGAATCCAAAACACTCTTGGTGAAGCTTGGAAAAAACTGAAACTGATGTCATCACACCAGTCTGTGTTAATGTAACGCAGCCAGAATGTCCTCATCTCTTTTTTAGGGTTTTGAGATGCTGTAATTCACAAGCGCCCTCCATCATTATGATGGCATTATAATTTGACATTATTTTTGTTCGCTCATTACATCATGTCATTATGAATGGGTAGCTATGGGGCCGTCCTGTATCCTGTGGCAGTGCGGGAAAATCTTTTTTTTTTTTCATTCATCCTCTCATCACTGGTTTAAGCTTCTGTATAAATAAAGAAACAGCTGAGAACAACTATCTTTCTAAATGTCACTGTGTACATGCTGGTTATGGACATGAATTAACTATTGCAATTTTGTAATTTATTCTTTTATTAATCTATGGTAGTTTCTTAAAACAAAGAGTTAGTATCGAAGTCATTTTAAGGAAAACATCAAACCATTATTATTAGTGAAGCATTTAGAAAACCTAAACCACTTATTGTGTTTGATTACACACAAAATGTCTTCTGCCCGTTTCAATAACTCTCACTCTGAAACAGATATGATGTTAAATTTCTATTGTTTTTTTTTATTTTAGATTTAGAGCTGAAAAATCATCGTATCAAGCTTTACTCAGCTAAACGTTTTGTAATGTGCAACCAAAGGAACCTGTCCTATTCTGGGAAAAGATCATTAAAAAGTAAGATCTCCACTAAGCAAGGCCAGACCAGTTTGTTGAATCAAGACTGTCACTCAGCAGATTGGTATTTCAATCCACTGCTATATTCCTTAGAATGTTGAATAGGTACACACTTATCACAAAGACCTTCACAAAATGATTAAGTGGCAGATTTAGTCCCAGACAGCCAGACTTTACCAGAGTCAATAAAAGGCTATTACATTTAGCCCAGAACCACCAACTTAAGGACATTATTTAACCTCGTCTTACAATAAATGCCAAAAGTCTATCAGTGCCTTCGGCTACACAAAAAGGTGAAAGCTCCTTTCTGCCAATCAACTGTGACGGATTTGTGGTTGCTGGGAGCAACTGGGAAAAGTAAGATGGCATCATGGGGAGTTCTAATTGAATTTTTTCTTCAGCTATACAAGATGAGCAACCTGACATCTTCTCACGGGTTATTCAAAAAGGTTAAAGACGGAGTGTGGCCGGTAATTGGACTTGTAGGATGCTTTTTTGTGCTACAATTACAGGGCTGATGAATAATAGGTGTTTAACACAAGAATAAAGACTGTGCCCTCAAAAAGCCAGTGACTGAGTGCACTATAGTTGCCAGTTTGTGACAAAAAAAACTGCCTGCATTATAGAGCATAAATGTATTGGAGATGCTGACAATGTGAGAGGTTTTCTACCCTTCAAGACTGAAACCAACAAAGTCACTTGGCAAGGCAGATTTACCAGGATTACTACCGGGCTGCTCCTCAAACAGGGAAAGGATGGTAGTTTTGTGCAGAGCACACAAAGCCTGGGACTTGTCTGCTTTGTTCTCTGTGGGTTGCCTGGGTCTTGAATACATTTCAACCTTGTAGATGGGGCCTATAAGCTTCTCCATCCTACAGGACATCGACTCAGATGCTGAGACCTTGACGTTTCACAGACAGTATAATCAGTCAATTAAAAGGGGGAATTTGGACACATGATTTTTTAGACTCTAATATACACACTTTTTATTGATTTGCTGATCCTTTTTTTGCGTTATTTAGTAGTTGTTAAGATTGCCTGTCAGCCTGGTCTTACTAATGTTATGATAAAAATACTTTCCCCCCCCCCTCTCGAGATATTAGTGTATTCGAAGCATGCTGAACATAACATTTGCATCATTAAAAAGTGGCTGCATCGCTGTGTTTTGTTTGTCTAGTAATAAAGATGTGGAATTTTGAAGAATTTGTTTATCTGACTTGCTAAGAGTTTTACAAGAGACAAGTTCTAATTATCTAAGATGTCAAACAAGTCAGATAATGTTGTTGTGACTTTCTGCAGATGTACTCTGGTGCAAAAACTGCAGCGTTCTGTATTTGAAATATGATGTTTCTACTAATTGAATAAATACCATAAATATTTTTTGTGTGTGTGCGTGTGTCAACATACTCCATCTGTTTCCCTCCTTTATTGAGTTTTCTAACTTCAGCTTTTGACCGCTGGCATGAATTTAAGAGTTTATTTAACATCCCCTCAGAACATGCCCATGGGTTGTTTGTTTGCGCAGATCATTATAGCTAATAATTATTTTCAAGACATAAGTGACCATCAGTTGTGTTTGCAGGGATTGACTTATCTGTGGATCATGTCAAGCATTCAAGTTGTGTTTTGTGAGTTACATATATCAGTCAAACAAAAACTTCAGTACTTATTCCAGCTGTTTTTATTTCCAACTCTGGTCAAGAAATGCGATTGCCCGAATCCAAGTGTTTACTTATAACAGAGGCAACCAGCAAATTGGCAACGATTCAATATCCGGGGTGCAGAGATGTCTGTTATTATAATCGAGGATCATAATCCTCCTCCTCCACTGTCACTGACGCCGTCTGCCCATATAGTCTGAAAGTTGGGTGGTTCAGAACAATTAAAAGTTCTTCCTGCCACTATGTTTCAATGGAAAATGATTCTGTCTTCCAGATATTCCTTCTGTGTCCTAATCTGGGTTCTAGTCTGTTCATTTTATCTACTCTCCATTTTGCTCCTAGACGTCTCTTCTTTAACATATCTTCATCTGGCGTCTTTTTCCAAGCATTTTCTTGAGCTTTTGAAAACTGGGCAGGCATCTCATCCAGGTTGAATTGGTTCAGCAGTGTCAACTCCCCCATTGCCATAGCTGTATATCAAAATGGATGTAAAAACTACCAACAGAAATATACTCCATCGATGAAATCTCTGTAGAAAATCTCAGAAAATTTAAAGATAGTTCAGAGTTGCAGCAGCAGGCTGCCGGCCTCACTTAAGAAGGACATCCGCACAAAAGTGGAAACACTTACTTTACAGGGGCACAGTGCAGGTAATATTTTAAGGTTATAACAGTTTGTTAAGATGGATTCATCCGTAGAGAGAGGCTGGATCTTGTCATCTGTTTGTCCTCAAAGCCTCACTGCCATTCATCTTCCACTTTAAGGTGTGATTTGTTCCCTTTTTTTGTGTGTAATTATCTTGATAAATACCAGGCCTACACTCTACAAAGGATGGAGGGCTCGTGATTTTCCCTCAGTCGTGCACACACTGAGTGCTGCAGGTCTTGAGAAACAAAGGCAAGAGTGAGTAATCCAAATGGGGTTAGTCTGGGATTCATTCCACAATCACAGCTTCCAAACTTCAATTTTGTTTCTGGCCAAGTGACATTAGAATCCAGAGACTGGAGGCCAGCGCCGCGAGGCAAAGATCTGCACCAAGTAGTGGGCCAGCTCCCGATCCAGGACAATCTTTCTACGGCAGA